AAGTCTGATCTGGGCATAGAGGGGTCCATTTGAGAGGGTTCAATGATCTAAAAGCACTCTTCATTGCATTTTGAAAAAAAAAATCATTGAAAAGTTTGATGTTGGACTATTTTTTGTGTATGATAACCCAAAATAAGATGTTCTATGTCAAAAGGGAGTCCATCATCATCAAACTAAATTGTATGTTTTTTATATGTGATAATGAACTTCATGTCACTTATAAAATGAAATTTTGATAACTGGATTAGTTTATGGAGAAATAATTTTTTTTTTTTTGTGATGGGAGCATTATTCATGCATGAAACTTGAAGTGAAAATTTACATAAAAATTGTCATATGATCATCAAACCTCTTCACATGATCTTTATCTGTGATAATAAATACATGCAACTTTCAGAATGCAATTTCAAGCTCTATGATGATCATTATAGAAAATAATAGTTTCGGTGCATTTTGATATATGCTGGTTTTTAGTTCAATTTTTGTGTTTAATCGAATTTGGTTATGCTTAGTTCTTTTCTAGTTTGTTCATTTTCATTTTATGGTCAGTTGGATTTTAATATTTGATTAAATTTGGGTTAACTCAAGTTCTAGCTCAAGTGGGTTTTAAGTTATAACTAATCTGAGTTCAATTCAATCATCTAGTAACACTAGAAGAGAGGTTTTATGTCTCAATGAGATTGGCTATAAGCCTAGGAAATGAGTCAACTAAAAAGTAAGGTGAACAACCACCAAAATTTTAATTTTCTTGAAAACAATTTTAATATTGATTTTATTAAGTAAACCTTATATCTATGGTAAATTCATTTTTATGAAGCTTACAATCATGCCATTTATTAATAATTTTCTTTTAAATTTGAGTATTTTCTTATGTTTCAAGTCAAATTTAATCTAACTCATTCAGTTGTAGCAGCTTTTTATCGTTAACATTTTTCAGATTAAAATTTAATTTCTTAATAGCCTAAAATGCTTTGTGTTTAAACATTAGTGGAAAGTGGCAAACCTTTCCATAAATTAAATGTTGTGATGGCATACCAATAAATGATTTATATGTTGTTTTATATGCCCATAGAGCATCATCTGACATAATAACCTAATCTTTTCTATTGAGATTCATTGATTTTTCCCAAATATGTTTGATCTCTCAAATATATTATTTAGCTTGTTTGTTAGTCTAGGGATGATACACAATAACTAATATCTTTTTAATTTCATACTTGTTCAATAATTTTTGAACTCGACAGTTAAAAAAATTACTACCTCCATAACTTATAATAATTTTAGGAGGCCCAAATCTTAAAAATATATTCTTTTTGAAAAAAATTGAATATAGTCCTAACATTTTTTTTGGGGTATTAATGACTTCCATCTATTTAGACATAGTTTAATGTCATTAATATAATTTAATTTTTTAATGAATTTGCAAAGGGCCCCATGATATTTATTCCATAAACGTCAAATAATTTAACTTTTAAAATATGATTGAGGGGTTGTTCTTCTTTTCTTTCAATTTTTCCTACACTTTGACATTTATCACACTTTCTAACATAAAAATTAACATGTTTAAATACAGTAAGCTAATAAAATTCATATTATAATATCTTAGTCATCCCATTAATAGAATTTGGCATCATGGATAAGTTTCTTCCTTTGATTGAAAGTAAACCCATAAGGGATAATATCACTCATATGGAAGTTTACAGTATTTTTATACCATAACACACATGAATTCACATGCAAAAGGTATTCATTAGGATGAGTCTCATTTGGTTCAAAATGATATATAATATGGTGTCTTGACTAAATCCTAGATAAATGATCCACCACTTCATTTATGTCTCTTTCCCATCATGAATCTCTACATTAAACTTCTTAAGCACAAAAATTCATGTATAAGTCATAATTTTGAATCTTTCTTAACTACCATGTATTTAATTGTAGTATAATCTGTGAACAAGACCATTATGTTTATATGGTACTACTTAAATTTATCATAGGCAAAATAATGGCTAACAATTCTTTTTAGTGATTACATAATTAATTTGTGCCTTATTTAAAGTTCTGGCAATATAATAAATAATATGAAAATTCAGCTTTTCCTTTGACATAATATAACTCCTATAACAAAATCACCACCATCACACATTAGTTTAAATTGATTTTTCCCATCAAATGTTGTAATTATTGGTGCAATGACTAGTTGAGTTTTAAGATTTTGAAAACTTCTAAACATTCTTTAGTGAATTCATAAGGGGTGACTTTCTCTAACATATGTCATAAATATTTAGTGAACTTATGAAAATACTTAATAAACTTTTTATAGAAACCAACATCTGTTAAGAAATTTCTAACTCCTCTAATAGTGATGGGTGAAGGTTGGTTTTGTATCACTTGAATCTTAATTTTATCTTATTTCAACACTCTTAGAAATTTTGTCCTAATGCAATCCCTTTGGACACCATAAGCTGACACTTTTTTATAGTTTAATAACTAAATTCGTTTTCTCACATTGCTTAAGAACTATGACCAAGTGATGGAGATAAATATCATAAGAAATTTCAAAATATAAGAAATCATCCATAAAGCTTTCATTATCCTGTTCAATCAAGTCAGAAAAAATTGACATCACACATCTTTAAAAAATTAAAAGAGCATTGCAGAGACCAAAATGCGTTCCCTTAAATAGTATTGTGCCATAAGGACTAATAAAGGTGGTCTTTTCTAGGTTCACAGACGAAATAAGAGTCTAACAACATCTCAAATAGCCATCTAAATAGTAGTAATATGGATGCCCTGTAAGTCTACCCAGCATATAGTCTGAAATGACAAAAGAAAACGATCTTTCCTGGTGACACTATTCAATTGCCTAAAATTTAAGTGAATGTGTCACCCAATTATCGTTTTTATGGGTATTAAATCATTCTTATCATTTTTTACAATTATTAAACCTATTTTCATGGGCATACAATGTATAGGACTAACGCAAGTACTATTAGAAAAAGGGTATATGATATTTGCAACAAGTCATTTCAAGATCTTTTTTTTTCACCACCTATTTCATAATAGGATTTACCCTTCTCAAAGGGTCAGTTTTTTATATATACTTTTCTTCCATTAATATGAAGGACTAATTTCTTGAATGTCTGCAATGGTTCAATCAAAAGCTTATATATAAGTTCTTAATAATCTCATCAACTTCTCTTCTTTGAGTTTATCTAATTCAGCATATTGGTTATTGGACGAGTTGAGTTATCTTCTAGAAAAGCATATTTCAAATGAGTGGGCAAAGCTTTTAAATTTAGCTTAGGCGCCTTCTTAGTAGATGACTTCAATTGTTCTCCTACAGATGAGGTGTTTAAAGACTCAAAATTCTCTCTAGAGGTTCTAGAGCCAGCTTGAAGGTATAATGGAAATTAATTTTCATCTTCAATTGAATCTCCCAAAGTTCATAATTGCTTTAACATGTCATCTTTTAAATGAGATGCAGCTTGACTCTCTATTAACACATCCACCACTGCTATACTCTAGTATTTATCAGAAGAATTATAAAAATGTTACATTGATTTCAAAATATTAAATATTACTTACTGATCCTGAACTCCCATAGCCAATTCTTCTTTTTAGCATCTATCATGGACCCTTGCAATTGCTAAAAATGATATCCCTATGATAATAGGCACCTCATTATCATCTTTCATGTCTAAGAAAAATAAAATTGTCAACCTTAACCAAAATATCATCTATTACCTTCTAGGGTAAGTCAAAGATGTATTAGTAAGCTCTAAAGTAACATTTGTATGTTGGACTTCTCTTAGGCCCAAGATTGAGGCATGAAGTTTATATTGACTCCTAGGTCAAATTAGGCTTTCCTAAAAGAATTATCCTTTATGGTACAAGGAATGATAAAACAATCATGATCTTCTCACTTCTGGGGTAATTTTTTTATAATGACACTACATTCCTCAGTAAGAACAATTGTCTCACATTCTCTCTGTGTTTATTATTTATTTAGTAATACTTTCATAAACTTAACATACCTAGACATTTATTCAAGAGCCTCTATAAATGGAATATTAATAGCGAGCTTTTTAAACACTTCTTGAAATTTATAAAATTATATATTCAAATTATGCATGTTTATTAAGTTTGGTGGGAATTCAGGTGATCATTTTTCTACCAGCTTTTAATCATTTGGTATTCACTTTACTTCTAGAGAAACTGACTGCAGCAGATATTATATTATTCTTACTGCTGTATTTTATCATCTAATATATATATATATATATATATATATATATGTATGTATATATGTATGTATGTATGTATGTATTTTATTTTGCCATGTTTTGAATGAAATTTGTG